GAGGAGAATGGAAAAGGGTTTGCAGCGTGGCCATCCCCCCTGGGGTTGATTTCTCGCTTTCTATCTCTCTGTCTCTCTCTGTCTGTCTGGCGAGCGCACGCGCCCTATAGCAAAAACCTCTGAAAAACAAAAAAAAGAGGAATACAGATCGCAGCCCGGAGACCTTGGTGCCAGGGCCTTGCTAGATCCAGCCTTGTCCCTGGGGTTTTCCCTGGGGCGCTGCAGTGGTGAGTGTTGCTAACGCACAGGGAGAAGTAGCTCCCGTCCAGACTGACGCTCCGGGACCCCTGAGCACACTGGCTCTCTTGGGGTCTCTAGTCAGAGACTTTCACTAAGGGACTGCACTGGAAGTGCCCCGAGCCTCAGAGAGGACTGAGCGCCCCTGGCTGGGATGCTCAGTAACCAGAGGACGCTCCTCTTTTATCTTCCAGAGGAAGGTCCAGCTGTTTCTTACCTCTTCTAAGACAGAAACCTGTGTGGGGCCGCAAAGTGATGCCTAATCATTCTCCCTTCAGCCTCCGAGTTCCGCAGACGTTTCAGGGAGCGGGAGATGTTTACCAGGCGCTCCTCTGCCCTGTGGCGTGCTGTGTAGCTCCCTGTGGTGTAGACTGGAGCGTGTCCCAGAGCCAATCTCACCTCACTGGTATGGCTGACAAAAAATTATATCCAGAGTATATCAATTTCTATAATTAAATGGGAGGTAGAAATCTGCTCAAAAAGTGGACAAAGAGTATGAGCCAGTAATTAGCAGGAGAAATGATCCAATTGGCTCATATACTGATAGGAAGGCGTGTGACCTCTCCATAGTCAGGGTAATGACAATTAAAATAATGGGAGGTTGTTTCATACCAATCTGGCTAGCAAAGTTTAAAATCTGATGATATCAAGGGATGGTGAGGATATGGAGTGATAGGCTCTTGTGTATTTGTGCTGGGAATAAAACTGAGCTGCTCTGGAGAGCAGGTTGGCCATATCAGAGTTATGGAACTTGGGACAAGTAGACCCGCGGGGAGAAATGACGCACAGAAACTTTCTCCATGTCCATGGCTGCATCACTCATGAGTGATCCTCAACAGTAAAGGGCCCCGGTGTGTTTGGACCTTGGTGGGTGCCTGCAGAGGGAAGCTGTAGGCATGAACAGGAATGAAACAGAGCTCCCAGACAGACACCCCTCCTAGAGTGCACACCAGTCTCCAGGCACTGTCACCTGTGTAGATTTGGAATACTTGCTGACAGCAGGATAGATGGTTTGTGAGCGCGAGTCTTCATGGTGTGTTAAGGAATAATGAAGAACCCATTTCAGGATCACAGTTACCCCTGGTGAAGACGGAGGTGAGGTCAGAAGGCACATCAAAGGGACCACAGTTATTACCTGTTATGTGTCATTTCACTTAGAAAACCGAGCCAAATGCCAGCGTTGTGAAATATCGAGACTGGCTAAAGCGGAGCAGTGAGCACGTGGGAGCTTGTACAGTGTCCGTATTTGTGTTTCTGTGTTTGACATCTCCGTATACAACCATGTTGTCATTGGCAGTGAGGCTACTGCAGAGGCCAGGGGAGACTCGTTACATGGTGAATTCCTTGTGGTCCGAGACTTGACCCTCAGCTCTGCAAACCCAGAAACTTCCTTTTTGTTCCTTAGGCGTATTTGCCCTTCGCCCCCTTCCTTTCCCTCTGTTGCCAGCAACTCAGAGCTAGACTCATCTCCGAGGGGCAGACTCGCACCAACCTCAGGGGGAATGACTCCAGAATGAGTGATCGTGTGTAAAGAGGAATAGTTAGCGTAATGGCTATGTCACTGGGCTCCCACATAGTCGACTGCGGTTCAAGTCCCGGACCTGGTGGCTTAAACTCACGCTGGGCGCGTGTGCATGTGTGCCCAGGATTCCGAGAGGAGAATGGAAAAGGGGTTGCAGCGTGGCCATCCCCCCTGGGGTTGATTTCTCGCTTTCTATCTCTCTGTCTCTCTCTGTCTGTCTGGCGAGCGCACGCGCCCTATAGCAAAAACCTCTGAAAAAAAAAAAAAAGAGGAATACAGATCGCAGCCCGGAGACCTTGGTGCCAGGGCCTTGCTAGATCCAGCCTTGTCCCTGGGGTTTTCCCTGGGGCGCTGCAGTGGTGAGTGTTGCTAACGCACAGGGAGAAGTAGCTCCCGTCCAGACTGACGCTCCGGGGCCCCTGAGCACACTGGCTCTCTTGGGGTCTCTAGTCAGAGACTTTCACTAAGGGACTGCACTGGAAGTGCCCCGAGCCTCAGAGAGGACTGAGCGCCCCTGGCTGGGATGCTCAGTAACCAGAGGACGCTCCTCTTTTATCTTCTGGAGGAAGGTCCAGCTGTTTCTTACCTCTTCTAAGACAGAAACCTGTGTGGGGCCGCAAAGTGATGCCTAATCATTCTCCCTTCAGCCTCCGAGTTCCGCAGACGTTTCAGGGAGCGGGAGATGTTTACCAGGCGCTCCTCTGCCCTGTGGCGTGCTGTGTAGCTCCCTGTGGTGTAGACTGGAGCGTGTCCCAGAGCCAATCTCACCTCACTGGCTCTGTGTCCAGGTTACAGAGAAGCGCGCTCAGTCTCCGCGCTCTGGGGACGGTCACCATGACACCCCAGTTCACTGCAGTGGCCTCTCCAGTATGCAGGGTCCTTTTTCATACCTGTTTTATTTTCCCGATGATCATGCATGACTGGAAGGGCCTTCTCACAGATGGGGGTGATGTGAGCTGCCCCAGATCTCACGGTTAGTCACCAAGGTTTCACAGGCTCTTTGCAGAAGCACCGGGCCAGCTGGGGCCTGGGGTGGGGCCCACAGGGTGCAGGGCAGAGGAGGAGACAAATTTCCGCAGCCCTGGCGTCCCAGTCGGAGGAGCTGTCGTTTGACTGATCAGTTCTGACTGACCCCATGTAACATCTGCTGGAAGATGAGTTCACTCTTGGGCTCTGAGAGGCTCAGGACACCCTGCTGTCTAGAGCCCCTGGTTTTCCATTTCCAGCCAGTCAGGAGTTCAGCGATTGACGGCCATCTACTCTCAGAGAAGTTTTAAACTGAATTAAAGTTTTTTTCTGTTTTTTTTTTTTTTTTTAAATAAAAAACCTTATGTATGGGGCCAGCAGGCGGCATGGTGGTTAAGGTGCTGGATTCCCACATGGTCAACCATGGTTCAAATCCTGGACCCGGCAGCTTGAAAATCACATTGGGCACAAGAGCATGCGTGCCCAAAATCCCAGGAGGAAGAGGAGGAGAAGGGATGGTGGTGTGGCCATCCACCATGGGGGGCGAGTTCTCACTTTCCCTCACTCTGTCTCTCTCTGGTGAGTACATGAGCCCTATAGAAAAAAAGGAGAGGACAAACAATCAACAACAACAAAATCACTTCACCTCTCTGGTTTTCAACGTCTGCATTTTACTGGATAAGGAGTTCCCCACGTGACCTCTTCAGCAGCAGACCTTGGAAACGCTGGTGAACTGGAGCCGAGTCTGGCCCCTGCCCCATCCCCTCCTCTCAGTGTCGCCGCTCCCACCTGTGGCTCTGGGAGAACCCCAGTAACGGCACGTCTTCCTCCGCTGACCTCAGGCAGACCACCGGTGGTAGAGAAGCGAAGGTGGACTGCCCCGGCAGCGCCGGGCCACACAGTGGGAATCTTACAGCCTCTGAGTCACTGCACTGGTGGGCCGGGAGTGTGTGGCTTTTTAACACGAAACCTAATCTTTCTGGAGAAACTCTTCCAACCTACTCCACCCCCTTGGCTCAGGGTGAGGCTTGAACTCATCACGCCCAGACACACCCTCGCTCTCACTTGGGGGTGTAAGCGGCCTCGGTTCTACTTGCAGCTCTGCCTTAGAAATGGGCTCCCTCTCACGTATCCTGGCTGCCAGTTCCTAGCACTACCATGCCTTGTGACTGTGTGGAGGGATTTAACGCCACAGTATGAAGGCAGCAGCCCTGCGGGTTCAGGAAAACATTTCCAGAGCCCTGTGAGACTTGCAGACACTCACGGTAGGCAAGGCTTCCTGCAGAGAAAAGGCAAGCGAGAGAATAGGACATGATTGGGTCCGTTCTGTTCCCTGGGGTTTGCGCAGGACAAGTGCTGCCTGGAGTCTGCGCCTTCTCATCCGGCTGCCCGAGCGCCAGCGAGTTCTGCAAGCAGGAGAGTAACAGCATCCCTAGAGGCCACGGTTGCACCTCAGTCCCTTTTCTTCCGTTTTCAGGAATTGGGGTACACGCACACATGTGCCCAGTGTGTTTTCCACGCCATCGGGACTGGGCTTTGAACTGCGGTGAGCCGTGGGATGTGGTTCTTGATACACAGCACACACCCACTGCCTTACAAGGCCGGCCCCAGACTCTGAGCCCAGTCTCAAGAAGCAGCTCGTCGACATCTCACCATACCCTGTAGGCCTGACCCCCGGAGGCTCTCGCGCTCAGAGGTGACCCAGGGCCTCCCTGTTCTACTGAGGGAGGAGCATGAGAACATGCCAGGTTCCTGCTGCCGGTGCCTGCCCCACTGTCACTCGGCAGTCAGAGAGGGCCAGGCGGGCGTGGTAGGCGAGGCACATGTGTCCCTGCTGCAGGGGGAGGAGAGCGGTCAGTGTGCCCCCAGTCTCAGGAGGACCAGGGTCCAGATCTCGCGGAAGTGCCACCTGCTTGTTTGGGCAAAGCAGAATGGGGAGAGCAGCAGCGGAGGTGGCTGGGCCCTGCGGAGTGGCTGGCAAACCGCAGGCGCGTCTTTGGAGCGCGTCCTCTGTGAGCAGCGATGCACTGTCAGTGTTTCAGTGCGCTGTCAGTGTGTCAGACACGTGTGCTCGGCGTAGTCCTTCTCTGCTGCACATGCCTCCAGTCACCCCTCGTGTCTCCTCGTGTCCTGCTGGCACCGTTTCTCAGCAGGGCAGAAACAGACCATCGCTGCACGTCCGTCTGGGCAGGCCGGTCCCCCTGGTCTTGCCAGGGGAGAATGAGCCCGGGCTGGTCTGGGCTCGTTGCTCAGAGGACCCCCTTCTCCTCCTCAGGTGTCAGCGGAAGCAGTGGCGGGTGGCCCTGCCGGCCACCAGTGTGGTGATCACGTTTCACAACGAAGCCAGGTCAGCCCTGCTGAGGACAGTGGTCAGGTGAGGCCGGGGACCCCTCCACCACCCGCCTGTTGCGTCTTAGGGGAGGCACGACCATGGCAGGGCTGCAGACAGGGCCACCTGCTTGACCCAGGGAATAGGCCGGAGGCAGGAGGACCCCGGCCCGAGTCCACTGCTGGCGCTCCCGAGGGGCCTACCACTGTCCCTTTCTGTCTCTTCTCAGTGTGCTTAAGAAAAGCCCGCCTCATCTCATTAAAGAAATCATCTTGGTGGATGACTACAGCAACGACCGTGAGTACCAGGCCATTCCGTCCCCAGCCTTCCCGCAGCAGGCACAGGAAGAAGAGGTGCCTCTGTGACCCCCCTGAGGAGACAGCCCCCCCGAGACCATCGGGAATCACTGTGCTTGAGTGCAGAGCTCTTTGTAAACGCGAGGTTCAAAATAATGCTTCTTTTCTTTCATCCCATAGCTGAGGACGGGGCTCTCCTGGGGAAAATTGAGAAAGTGCGGGTTCTCAGAAATGACCGGCGAGAAGGTAAGACTAATTCACTGCCCAGACAGTCCAGTTCTGACTTCCCTGAGCCCAGTAATAACTTAAAGAAGAGCCTCAATGGAAAGAACAATGAATTGCCTAGTCTTTTTTGTCCCTGTCCCTCTGCCAGAGCCACCTGGGAGTGCTCTCCCCACAAACACAGGAAGGGCAGTAAAAGCTTCACTAATTGAAAGTGTTTGTGTACTTAGGGCCAGAGTTCAAGCTACGTTTTTATTTATGTATCTGGAAAATCAGCTTCTCGGTTTCTTTCACAACCTAGACAGTCTTATCTCTCCCTTGAGTACGAGAGTTTAGAAGAAAAACAAAGATTTGGCGATGAGAAGTTTGATGACTCCATGCTCTCGGCTCTGATAACGTAGCGGATCTAAGCTTGACGCCTGCTGAAGGTGAGCCGTCCAGAGCCGAGCGAGGACTGCGACGTGCGCACTCCGCGATTTTGCCCGTGCCAGCCTCAGAGCCAGCCAGTCTTACGTGTGCTGGAGCTGAGCTCAGGGGGTCTGTCCTGCTGGAATTAGGAGAGGCGAAGGAGGGGAGCGGCAGGGCTGTGCAGAGTCTGGAAGGAGGCTCAGATCACCGTGTGAACACACAGTGCCTCAGGGAGCCTGGAGTCTAGGCCCAACCGTCGTCTGGAGAAATCTTTCAGAATCAGAAAGTCAGAGCCTAGAACCCGTGCCACTTTTGGTGTTTGAGGTAACTCTGTTGACCCAGGAGTGGTGGTTATGATTCTCGATGAGTGCGGATTGTTTCTTCTAGCCCTTATGCTGTTCAGCTGGGGCGAAGGGTGTTTTTCTTAGCAAAAATCTAATCAGCCAGTACAGTGATGCAGCTTGTTAGAGCAGTGGCTCAACACCGTGTTTTAACCAGCTAAAGTCACCCGCCTGATACCCAATGCGGGTAACAGCGAGGGAGGCCTTTCCCCTGACAGACGTTGCTTGCTGGACTCACACCAGTTCTCCAAGAATAAACCACAAGTCTTGCAATCTGCTGCATTATTCCAGCCCCCACACATAAACAACCTACAGAATAACTATCATTCAACTAACTGTGGTTCAAAAATACTCAGAAATAAACAATTAAAAGCAGCAGTGCAACAATGAAAAAGATATAAAACCAGTACAGCGTAACTACTACATCCATAGCATTTGCATCGTGTTAGGTGTAAGTCATCCAGAAACGACTGAAGGTACACAGGGGGCACGTACGTGGCATGCAAGTATCGTACCGTTTTGTAAGCGCCTTCATGTTCTCAGGTCTTGGTACCCAGGAACCCCGAAGCAGAGCACCCTCAGATTCTGGAGTCCTGGAATCAATTCCCCTGGGGCACCGAGAGATGACGCGAATGTCCTTTTTAGGTTTCGGTTTTCGAATGACACTGACCTCATGAAACAAGATGGAAAGTCTCCTGTTTTCTTGCGGAGAGTTTGTGTGAGATTTCAATGACTTCTTTCTTAACGTTTGATAAAATTAGTCCAGCTGGAGCAGTTTTCTTCGTGAAAAGATTTTTTTCTAACTAATTCAGTCTTTTGAATAACGATAGGCCTGTTCAGATTTTCTGTTTCTTTTTATGTCTGTTTGGAATTTGTGTCCTTCAAGAAGTTTTTATTTCCTTTAAGTTTTCATATACACCAGGTTGTGTATAACATTCCCTTGTTATCTTTTAGGTGTTTGTAGGATTCGTATTAATATTTCCTCTTTATTGATTTTGGTAATTAAATTTGCACATTTTCTTGATCTGTCTGCTAGAGGCTCATCAACTGTATTAATGTTTTAAAAGAACCAACATATGGCTTTGCAAACTGTTTTATTTTTCCATTATCTTAATTTTTGCTTTTTTTCTTTATAAGTTTCTTCTACTTTGGGTTTAGTTTGCCTTTTTCTAACTTTTATCTTTGTTAAGTTTTACCAAAGGGTGCGATTGTTCACTGGAGAGAGAGAGGAAGCCTTCTCCCCCGATGGGGAATGGTCACTTCACAACCCTTTCTTCCCCATCTTTCCCTCCTGCTGTGATTTTGGGCACGCCTGCACACATGCCCGGCGTGTTTCTCAAGGTGCCAGCTCCGTGACTCAAACCTCAGGATTTGACCATGTGGGATCTGGCTACCTTAACTACTCGGCCAGGAAACTGGCCCTTCGCTTCTTCAAGTAGGAATGCACATTGCTGATACTCTTCTCTAATATAAATCATTTAAAGCTAAAGTTTCTGTCTAACCTTACCTAACCCACATCCCACAAATTTTGATATGCCATGTTCTCATTAATTAGCTTGAAATCTTTTAAGAATTATTTAATTTTATTTGTTATTATTATTTTAATTTGCTCTAGGGCATGTGTGCTCACCAGAGAAAGAGGGATAGAGAGAAAGGGAGAAAGCCAGCTGCCAGGTCTGAGACTTGAACCATAGTTGGCTAGGTGGGAGTCCAGCATCCCAACCACCATGCCACCTGCTGGCCCAGTTTGAAATCTTTAAATTCTTTTCCTACGATTTCTTCTTTGACCCTTATATTATTTGTGTTCTTTATTTTTCAAATACTTGAATTTTTTTCTTTTTTTAAAAAATTATTTATTTAATTTTATTTATTCATTCATTTACTTTAGTTTTACCAGAGAGAGACACACACGCAGAGAGAGAGAGAGAGGGAAAGTGAGAAGGCAAACCACCAGGTCTAGGACTTGAACCGTGGTAGGCTACGTGGGAGTGTCCAGCACCTTAACCACTGCGCCACCTGCTGGTCCCCCAAATACTTGAATTAAAAAAAAAAATACTTTTGGTTATTGGTTTCTAATTTAACTCCACATTTCCAGAGAATATGCTCTATAGGATATCAGTCTTTTGAAAATGTTAAGTATCTTGTGGGCTAAGATGTTCTAGGTAAACTGAGAAAATGTATATGCTAAAGTGTTGGTTATTGTATGTGTATGTGTCCGTGCGTGTGTATTAGATCAGGGTGGTCAGTAATGTTCAAATGCTGAAGTCCTTATCGATGTTTAATCTACAGTCTATCGATTATGGACAGAAGGTTGTTAAAGTCGGTTGCGGTTGAGGTTTATGTAGCTCTCCCACTTACTCCGGCACTCATAAACGTGGTGTCCTTCCAGTGACTGGCCACGTTCTCGTGTTCCTCCCTCCTCGTCATCTGAGATCTGCTCTGATGTGCACCGCTACGCCCGTCGGCGCGTTCTGTCGGTGCGGGACGTCCTTCTGAGCCTTTCAGCCTGTGTGCTTAGACCTAAAATAAGCCTCAGACAGGCTATTGCTCAATATCGCTTTTCATTCTTTTTTTAATGCCCGAGGGTGCATGTGTGCATGAACAATAGAGAGGGGGGGGGGGGGGGGAGAGAGAGAGAGAGGGAGAGAGAGGACCCCACGCTCCCACCGCCCTGAAGGGTCCTGGTCACATTGCAATCCTTTTTTCCCCCGTTTTCCATCCTGTAGGATCCTGGGTCCACACAGCCGGATGCCTTTTCAAGCTGCCGGGGAATGCTAATCGGCCATGTGGATCTAGCTCCCTATGCACAGTGCTTTAGCGTCTGCTCTATGGGAGTGGCCCTTGCTTTTATTTATTTATTATTGTTATTATTATTTAATCCAGATTAACAACCTTTGCCTTTTAGTTGGAGCGACTTGTCCATCTAATGGTATCTAATTATTGATGTGATTGAATTTGGGTCTATCATTTGTCCCGCGTGTGTTTTTTTTTTTTTTTTTTTTTTTTTTTGGGGGGGTGCTATAGGGTTTGTGCACTCACCAGAAAGACAGAGAGACAGACAGAAAGCGAGGAATCACTCCCCCCGGGGGATAGCCACGCTGCAATCCCTGCTCCTCCATTCTCCTCTTGGGATTTTGGGAACGCACGCACATGCGCCCAGCGTGAGTTTAAGCCACCAGGTCTGGGACTCGAATCATAGTCAACTACACGGGAGTCCAGCAACATAGCCATTATGCCAACTGCTGGTCCCTGTCCCACATATGTTTTGCTTTTTGTTCCTCTTCCTACTTGCTTCTTTGGGATCGATGTTTTGTAGTATTTCATTTGAATTCTCTTGTCGCTTTTTAGTTATACTTTCTTATACACTTTGAGGATTATTACAGCAGCCATCTTTAAATTAGAACAGTCTACTGGGAGCCAGTAGCTTACCAGTTCACATAAATGTAAAACCTTACACCAGCTCAGTAATTCCATTCTCTGTCTTACATCCTACTGTTGTCATGTTTTTTTCTACATATATTTTGAACCCCACAATACAGTGTTAATTTTTACTTTTTTAAAAATTTCCTGGAGAGAACATGTACCCATCAGAGAGACAGAGACAGAAAGGGAAAGTGAGGAAGCACCTTCCTGACGGGTGATCGTGCTGTAGCCCTTCATTTCTCCTTCTGGGGTTGGGGGCATGCAACACAGATGCCTGCCATGTTTTTCAAGTCGCAGGGTCTGGGACTCAAACCACTCAGCCAGCCATATGGTATCCAGCTGCCTTAACCACCATGCCACCAGCTGGCCCAATTTTTACTTTAAATAACCAGTTATCTTTTAAAGAAAGCAGGAGAAAACTACATCGGCTCTGTTAAACTTACCCTCATATTTCACATTTTTAATATATTCACTTCTTTCTAAATGTTCAAATTTTCTCTAGTGCCACCTTCCTTTAGCCCAAACACTTTCTCTTAGAGAACTCTTTTTCTTACAGACACCCAAATTTTTCAATTTTTGTTTATATGAAAAGTAAGTTTTCTTGGGCACAGCAGGTCGCATGGCGATTAAGGTGCTAGACTTCCACATGGTGGACTGCAGTTCGAGTCCTGGACATGGCAACTTGCAAATCACGCCAGGCACATGTGCGTGCATGCCCAAAATCCCGAGAGGAGAGAGAGGAGATGGGAATCGCAGTGTGGCCATCCTCCTGAGGGGGGAGGAGGCGACTTCTCACTTTCTCTGACTCGGAAAAGCACACGTGCCATATGACAAAACCTAAAAAATACTAAAAATAAAAAGTAAGTTTTCCTTCTTCTTCATGATCAAAGGATTTTTTTTAAATAGAATTCTGAGTTTTCACCACTTTAAACATGTCATTTCGATGTCTGTGTCTGGCCTTTGTTTTTTGTCTTACAGTTAGTCATCATTCATATTGTTCCTTCGTATTTTGGGTCGTTCCCTCTGAGGGCTTTCCAGATTGTCTCTTTATCTTTGCCTTTAGCAGTTTGACTGTGATGTTCCTGTGTGTAATTGTCTTTAAATTTACCTGGCTTCAGATTTGCCAGTCACCTTGAATATGTAAGATGATGTTTTCTACCAAATTTCGGAAATTATTTGCCTTGTATTTTTTTTTTTTTGAGAGGTTTTTTTTTTTTTCACTATAGGGCGCGTGCGCTCACCAGACAGACAGAGAGAGACATAGAGACAGAAAGCGAGAAATCACCCCCCAGGGGGGATGGTCACGCCGCAATCCCTTCTCCTCCATTCTCCTCTCGGGATCTTGGGCACGCACGCACACGCGCCCGGCGTGAGTTTTAAGCCACCGGGTCCGGGACGCGAACCCTGGTCGACTACGTGGGAGTCCAGCGACATAGCCATTACGCTAACTGCTGGTTCCCCTTTGTATTTCTTCATGTACTTTTTTCTACCGCATTCTTAGACTCCAGTACAAGGATTGATATTGATCCTGTCGGCACTTAGGCTGTTTTCCAACTCAAATATTTTTTCTTTGTTCACCAGATAGATAAATGTTCCTGTTAGTCCAACATAAAGTTTACTGGTCCTTTTGCCAACTCCAATGTGTTATTAAGACCAAGCGGTGTGGGATGGCCCCCTAGCACAGCAGTTGAGTGTTGTGCAGGAAAACTGGGTCTAACGTAGCCAGGGTTTCAAGTCCCAGCTCGTGCAGGTTACATACCAGGTGTGTGCATGCATACCCAGAATCCTGACAAGATTGAAAACTGGAGGAAAAAGAATTGCAATATGACCAGGCCCCATGAGAGGGGGAGGGAGAGAGGGTTCTTTCTTGCTTACTGATGGTCTTTTGCTCTTTCTCTCATGCATGTGTATATACCCTCTGGAATAATTTTTCATTCCTATTTTTAAAAAAGACCAGTCAGTGAATTTTTTATTTTACATAATTTTATTTTTCAGTTCTGGAATACCCGTTTGATTTTTTCTTGTAGTTTCCATTTCTCTGCTGAGATTCTCCTTACCCATCTGTTCACTTATTAAAATGATTGTTTTCTTTGAATTCCTGAATATAGTTATAATAGCTGGTTTTAAATCCTTATCTACTAATTCCAGCATCTGCTGTATCTCAGAGTAAGTCTCTATCGACCTTTCTTCCTCTTGAGTATAGGGCTTATTTCCCTGTTTCTTCTCATGTCTAGTAATTTATAATTCTATAATAGGCATTGTGGATGCTCTGTTGGAGAGACATGGATTGTGTTAGCTTCTTCTAAAGAGTGTTGCTCTTTGCTATACTAAGCAGTTAAATTACTGGTGGACAGCTTTGAACTGTGTAGGCTTTTCTTTCTGCTTTACTGGGGTATATATGTCTTGGGTAAATCTGTTACTCTCGAGACATAGTCTGTATTCCTGAATGTGGTTCTTTTGGAGTTACTATAGAAGAACTAAGATGTTTATCAAACCCTTCTCGTAGCAGGACTCGTCCTGTGTGTCCACTGTAATCGATGGCTGTTGAACCCTCAATCCTGTCTGCCTTCTCACGGATGCTTTTCTTCGACTCCTTGGAGTTTGTGTCTAATCAGCCAGGATTTAAGGGGAGGTTATCACCAGATTTGGGGCGTACCACCTTGTGGGATCACCTCCTTCATTTTCTAGCCACTCTTTCATCCGACTTGTTTTTTTTTCCTCCGACTTGTCTTCTGCCGCATTGCGGCGGATTGCGGAGTAACCTGGAGGGAAACCACGTACATGTGGCTCTCACTGCTTGTGACTTTTTTCTTTCCCAGGTTGAATCCCCTTTCATTTCTGCCTGCTTCTGGCTTCTCTCCAGCACTTTCGAATAGTTAATTTTTCTGTTTTCCTCGGAGCGTATCATTGTTATCTGTGCAAAACTTTGCCCAGTAGAAGCCACTTTGTAATGACCAGAACTAGATCCTTTGTATTTTTCCCCATTCTAGCATGCTGTTGTATACCACCCATGAAGAACCCATTTTGTCCTCACTGGCTATGAGTCTTGATATGCAAAGGCCAGAATACCTAGTGAAAGCCACTTGTGACTATGGCACCCATGAACATGCTATTTATGACGAAGGGTTTGTGGACCAGCAGGTGGTACAGGGCTGAGGTGCTGCACTCCCACACGGCGGACCTTGGTTTGAGTCTCAGACCTGGTGACTTGCTTTCTCACTTTTCCTCTCTCTCCCTGGTCAAATCATAAAAAGTAATAATTACAAATTAAGTAAAATAAATAATTGTTTAAAAATGTATTAAAGAAGACTTTATGTCATAAAAAACACATATTATTGACATATCACAAATGCATACGTTGTATAATGGACCGATCGTGCATAACTAATTTCATGTGAAAACCGGGCAGCCGGGCTTTGTCATTTATGTCCTCTGTCACATGATGCGTCTTAGGAGACAGATAGCTACAGACAGATAGTTACAGATATTATCACCACTAAAATCACACCATTAGCAGTTGACGTGTCTGGGTGACACCTTGCTTGGCCCAGTTATTTAGAAAACCCTGTATCTGTGCCAGAGGAAAGTAGTTTTAAAATTTCCGCAAAGGAGCGGCAGTTGTGTAAACGCCCTCCTCGGAGGACAGCAGTTCTGAGGAAGTTGGCTTCCTCGTGGTCAGTGAACTGTTTTATAAGAAGTCCCGACGGAAGTCAGTCTTAGCAAGCACAGGGCAGTGGTGATCCTGGCAGACAGGTCTGCACCAACTCCATGCCCAGGGAGCCTGCAGTGCACAGCCGGGCTGCGGCACGTGCCGGGTGTGATGCCCTCCTGCCTTCTCGGATACCACAAGCTCTCTCCACTCACCTCTGCAGGCCTGATGCGCTCGCGAGTCCGGGGGGCCGATGCCGCCCAAGCCAAGGTCCTGACCTTCCTGGACAGCCACTGTGAGTGTAACGAGCACTGGCTGGAGCCGCTCCTCGAGAGAGTGGCTGAGGTGAGACTCGGGGACAGGGGTGGAGACGGGCCTGGGACAGCAGGACAGGAGGGATGGGTTGTGGTTTTCCTAGATGCTGCAAAGGGAGGAGATGCCCCTGGAGCACTGGTTTGGAGGGTTTTCTTGGCTGAGGAATCTGTCAGTAGGAGGCACCATCCACTGACAAGTTGGAAGCGAAGATTGTGAGAGGCTGGCGCAAGCCCGATGTGTTGAAGACAGGCACATCTTAGCCTGCAAGCTTTGTATTCAGCTCTGCACGGCATGGGCTAGGATGGTACCTGGCATCGAATGAGCGCCATCTGGTGCAGATGTCCGAGGGGCGCTGGGGACGCTACCCCAGGCCACCCCTCACTCTCAGCGAGCGTGGCAGGTTCCCCAGCTGGCGTCCAGGCTTGCAGGGGCCCAGAGCACACAGTGACTGGGTGGGTGGGGCTGTCAGAGGCCGTCTGTGACACTTCATGCACCTCTGCCTTCCGGAAGCTTCGCCGCTAATGTAACGCCCGGCTCGTGGTTATTTCTCCGGCCTCTGCTTGTTGTACTGACTTTCTTTCCTTCCTACGAAGAAAGTGCTTCCTTGAGGCAATAAAGCAGAGTTAATGAAAGTACCAGAAAAACAGGAAATGAACCAGTCGCTCTGCCGACAGCATAGCCAGGACAGCGGACGGTCAGCCCGAAGTTCCGGGAAACCTGAGCTGCTAGTGACCCTGCGATCGTCGCATGGCCCCATGTTGAGCTGTGCTGCGTGCTGAGTGCCCCCACGCGTGCCCTTCAGTGCAGACGTCCCCTGCCGGGCAGATGAGAAAACTGGGCTGAGGAGCCTTAATCATGCAGCCAGATCGGACAGGTGCAGAGCCAAGATTTCCGAGAAGTCCCACCTGCTCGTTTGTTTACGCCCACGTGAAAGAAGAGCCTCCGTGGAATCCTACCCCCTCCCACCGCGATTCTCACCCTTCTGCACTGTGCTCAGGAAGGCCACTGTGCGCCGGAGTCGCGATGTGAAGGCCGCTTGGCCTGTGGTTGGACCGTCAGTGTTTCAAACGCCACCTCCTACATAAACCAAAGCGCACGTCGAGGTGGTGATGGCATTAATTCCAGTCTCCTCGAAAGACACGTAAGGCTGATTATGTTCTTGGACTGCCACACCCGGGCCAGACTAAGCCAGATGGGCATCCTTCTCCCTGCTGCGGACACCTCGCCGTTTGGTTTCCCCGGGAACTTCCACCAGGGGAACTTCCACCGGGGCGTGTCGGAACCGAGCGCTCTCCTGGCGAGCGTCCCCGCTGCATCGCTCTCAGCTGCCCGTTCTGCTTCCAAACCGCTCAGCATGGCTGCCGTGAAGACGAAAGGGCCCCAGGGCACCCTGTGCAGCCGCGCCCCCAGCCGGGCGGAGAGCTGGCCGGCGCCCATGCCCGGGGCTGTCCTCCCGTGGGGCGGGTCGCCCTGTGGGGTGGCTTCCTCTAAGCTCTGAGCCCGCCATCCCTCGCACAGCCCGTGACAGCCCTGTGGTGGCCGAGACTAAGATGTCTGGCAGAGGCGGGGAGGCCGGGAGATGGGAGGCCGGGAGCGGGGAAGGGGGCCTCTCCCGGCACCAGTGGCCTGCCTCCACCCAACACTAGTCCTGCCTTCTCCCGGCAGTGCGGCTTGTGCCCGGCGAGGCTGGGAGGCTTTGGTAACAGCCCTTCTCCTCCCTTCTCAGGACAGGACCCGGGTCGTGTCGCCTATCATCGACGTCATTAACATGGACAACTTCCAGTACGTGGGGGCGTCGGCGGACCTCAAGGGTGGTAGGTGTCAGTCCCGGCCAGTGGCCTTGTCGCTTCTGTGCTGTTCCCCCTGGACGTTGGGGTGGCGAGGATGGCACTCCCACCTCACATGTCCAGTGAGGAGCGTCTGCACCTCCTTAAACAGCCGCTTCCCCTGAGAAGCCCTCCTGGCTGCCTGCTCCCTCACTGTCTCGACTGCCTGCCAGTTCTCTGTGAGCTGAGAGGCTCCTGGACACTCCTGCTGCCTTTGGGTCAGAGCCAGTGAGGCCACTCCATGGAACTGAGGTCAGGCAGAGTTTCAGGGCCAGAGCCCACGTCTGCCCCCCGCTCACCCCTCTTCCTGCCACGGCCTCTGTCTCTCGCTGGTCACTGCTGTGGAGACCCAGCTCGGGGTCAGCACCCTCCAGCCACCCAGGCCCCGTCGCCCCAGGCCTGCTGGGTCTGCCCTCCATCTGGCCGCCCTCCCATGTCCTGCTCCGTGCGTGGGAACCCTGTCTGAGTGACCATCAGTTTCCTTCTGGTCCCCACAAGTCCACTGCGCTCCTGCAGCCCACCCTGACGGAGTCCCAAGAGCAACTCGTCTAGAAATCTCTACCCCCAATAAGTCTCCAAGGCCCCAAGGAGTTGGTTTACACGGGCCGTGGTACCCCCGTTGGCGGCATTAGAGGTTAGAGCTGAGAGTTCTTAAACCCAGGCAGAGCAGGTTCACGTCCCTTTTCTGTCCACAGCGGGCCCGAAAACACCACTGTCACCTCAGAGAACGAGCCTAATGAGGCTTGTAGGGCTTGGCTTAAATATGGGAGTAGTTCTGCTGAGGGGGGCCCCCTCGTCAGGTCTGTGGGGTGCCAGGGATTCCTCAGCTTCTCCTGGAAGACCCCCGGCCTCTCCTGGAGCACCGTGAGGCCTAGGAGAGCTTTGTGTGCCGACGGGTGCCCGGGGCTTGTACCCCGCTGCAGGGACCAGTCCCATGAAGCCTGGCTCTCAGCTGTCTGTGTTCCCAGGACTCAGGGGGGGGGGAGGCAGGTGGGGTCTGTGCCCCAGAGGCTCCGCCACACACAGCCCAGTAACAAGCTCTTCACTCAGACCCCCAGCAGGTCGGCAGCCTGGCCTGTCAGCTTGGCAGGGGAGGAGTTGGTGAAGTCCGCTCTGAGCTGCTAAGAGATGCCAAGTCTCTGCCTGACGCCTTCATATTGTCTTCATTAGAAAGTAGCCAGTGGCCCTTCCCACGCTATTGATTGATTGATTGATTGATTGATTTTGCCAGAGGGTGTGTGCTTACCAGAGAGAGAGAAGGAAGGTAAGAGAGCACTGTGCACCCCGACCCGGGGCTGGCGGGGCTGCAGCCCTTCTCCTGGTCTTCTCCTCTGGAGGTTTCGAGCAGGCACTCCTACAAGCCTGGTGTGCCAGTCCGGGGTGCCAGCTGCACAGTCGGCTGTGTGGGACCCAGCGGCCCCAGCCACCACGCCGCTAGCTGGTCCAGCCCCCTGATTACGTACACCTGCGCTCACTGATTACTGTAAGTGCTCGGCCCCTCGTGTCGTTACGTAACGCAAGGGGCTGGTTCCCACTCCTGCTGTAGCTGATTGTAAGAGGGTCCGTCCCAGACAGAGCAGCCGGTCAACGGCAGTCCGCTGTCGAGAAAAGGAGGCCGATGTCCAGTCCAGTTTCAGTTCCCGGCCCACCCTGGGAGCCTGGCCTGGTGGTAATGCACCTGCAGTCCTAGCCGCTAGGGAGACTGAGGCAGGAGGGCGGTGCTTATGGCCAGCCTGGGCGGTATACTGAGAGCCCATCTGAAGGGCGTGTGCGGCGTCCCTGCTGCCCAGGAGGCCAGGCAGGAGGATCGCAATGTACAAGACCTCTCTCGGGAGAGGAAGCCAGGTCTTTGAGCAGGCACACCTACCCCAGGCTTGTAGGAGTGCCTGCTCAAAACCTCCGAAGGAGAAGTGCAGGAGAAGGGCTGCAGCCCCGCCAGCCCCGGGTCAGGGGGCGCGGTGCTCTCTCACCTTCCTTCTCTCTCTGGTAAGCACACACCCTCTGGGAAAAAAAAAATCAATAGTGTGGGAAGGGCCACTGGCTACTTTCTAATGAATACATTATGAAGGCGTCAGGCAGAGACTTGAAACCAGAAGGTGGAGCCAGCCTTGGAGAGCTGAAACAGCTTGTCACTTAGTTCTGCCCCTTCCTCTGGAAGTTCTCCCAGTGCTACCGTCCCCCTCTGTCCCTGCACAGTGCCATTCTGGTTGCTGTCAGAGCTAGGGCAGCGGTGGGCTCTGCAGGCCTGGGAGCCACCGCAGCTCAGCCCCACCCCGCGTCCTCCCACAGCCCCGGTGGTGGGAGCGATGGGCACCCTGGACCGCTCCCACCTTCTTGCAGTCGCTGTGGCACCACAGGTCCGCTCTCCTTGGCATTCCATGTTTATTCTGATGCATTTTAAAATCTTTCTCACCATTGCTCTTTGTAAAATTGATTCGTTTCTTTCATGAGAGAGAGCCAGCCCCAGCAGGCCCTCACACCGCACCCTCTCAGCCAGCCAGGCTAAGGGCATGGGCACAGGAGGCCCTAGGATGTGAGCCCAGGACCTGCCCCGTGGGTCCAGTGTCAGAGTGTTGTAACCACCGTGCCACCGTGTGGCCCCTAGTCACATGCATCTTAATAGTGGAAGAGCCTGACCCTCTTTCTCGGGGACTTGGGGATAAGATTTTGACGCACGACCTCCTGGTTGTCTCCTGTCCCCCGGCCACACCCCTAGTCGCTGTCTCCTTCCTCCAGCCTCCATCTTTTTAAATTATTATTTATTTGTTATCATTTATCAATTTGACCAGCTAGAAACAAGGGGTGGGGGTGAGTGAGAAAGCAAGCCACCAGGTCCAAGACTCGAACCACAGCTGGGCATGTGGGAACCCAGTGCCTTTAACCAACACACCAACTGCCTGTCAGTCCCCAGTCTCCATGTTTTCGCCTCTGACTGGTTTGGCAATCCGCCCTACTGTGGATCGTGCTGAACCCATGTGTGTCGGGCTGCCAGGAGCCGGCTGGGCCGCGAGCACCTGTTTGTTTTCTTGGTTGGCAGGTTTTGACTGGAACTTGGTGTTCAAGTGGGATTACATGACCCCTGAGCAGAGGAGGTCCCGCCAGGGGAACCCAGTCGCCCCTATAAAGTAAGTGCCAGGTGACCTTCAGGGGCCCTCGCAGGTGAGACCCCAGGCTCCACCCCCTCCGTAGAGCCTGAGTTTCCTAGACCTTGTCGGGCTCCGGTGTCCCCTTGTCATAGCTCAGAGCAGACACCTGCTGCACAGAGTAAGGTCCTGTGAGGTTCTTCAAGGCAGGTCGGCCGGTTCTGTGTCCCTCCTATGTATGCTCTAGTGTTGCTCGTAGCAGAGTGGGGTCTCTAGGTTGGTTCTGGGGACCAGAAAAAGGGTGGGAGCCCAGGCAGCATGCGCCCCACACTGCTGCCCCTCCTAGCCTGCTCCCCGTTCCCCAGCAGGTCTTGTGCCCCTGCCACTCGCGGCAGGGTGTGATTCCTCAAGCCCTTGCCCAGAAGTCCGGGGCCCTGCAGTGATGGCCGGTGGGCTCAGGAAGCCGCCAGCTGGGGAGAGTTGAGAGTTGCTCACAATCTTAGGGGATCGTGTTAGAGTGCTGAACCCTGAAATGTTTCCAGGGGTCCTAGCTGTGTAGTCGATCCGCATAGCACTCCTGCTGGGACAGGTGGGCCTGGTGCATTCTGCGGTTCACCCCTCAGGGTGGCTGGGAGGGGCGCCCACAACAGTGATGCAAGATGACGCTGCCCAGCAGCTCCTGCCTTGATCTTAGAACCCTTAGGACAGCCCGTAGGGAAACCGAGGCACAGAGAGCCAAGTACCTGCCGAGGGCGACTTGTCAGCGAGTGGTCCAGCCCCTGCCGTCACCCCTCTGAGGGCAGGCTCAGTCCAGACCCTGGGCCTGAGGGAGTATCCAGGTGGGGGTGGCGGGGGCACAGAAGGCTGCAGAGGGGTGCCGAGGCTCTGGACAAAGGTTAGCATGTTAATGGGGAGTGTGGGCTCAGCCTGGGCTTGAGAACGCTAGCACTCTGACCTGGACCTGGGCCTGAGAACGCTGGCACTCTGACCTGGGCCTGGGCCTGAGAATGCTGGCACTCTGACCTGGACCTGGGCCTGAGAACGCTGGCACTCTGACCTGGGCCTGGGTCTGAGAACGCTAGCACTCTGACCTGGGCCTGAGAACGCTGGCACTCTGACCTGGGCCTGGGCTGTCCCTCCTCCCACCTCTCCAGAACCCCCATGATCGCAGGCGGGCTGTTCGTGATGGACAAGTCCTACTTCGAGGAGCTGGGGAAATACGACATGATGATGGACGTGTGGGGCGGAGAGAACCTGGGTATGTCCCCCCGGCCTCGGTGCCGGCAGACGGCGGGTGCCAGCCGGAAGAGCTAAGATGGGTCCGAGTGGCGCTTTGGGCACAGCAGGTCCCCGCACACGCATCCCGGCAGGGGGCGCCTTGTCAGGGAGTGGCCCAGCCCCTGCCGTCACCCCTCTGAGGGCAGGCTCAGTCCAGACCCTGGGCCTGAGGGAGTATCCAGGTGGGGGTGGCGGGGGGCACGAAGGCTGCAGAGGGGTGCCGAGGCTCTGGACAAAGGTTAGCATGTTAATGGGGAGTGTGGGCTCAGCCTGGGCTTGAGAACGCTAGCACTCTGACCTGGACCTGGGCCTGAGAAAGCTAGCACTCTGACCTGGGCCTGAGAACGCTGGCACTCTGACCTGGGCCTGGGCTGTCCCTCCTCCCACCTCTCCAGAACCCCCATGATCGCAGGCGGGCTGTTCGTGATGGACAAGTCCTACTTCGAGGAGCTGGGGAAATACGACATGATGATGGACGTGTGGGGCGGAGAGAACCTGGGTATGTCCCCCCGGCCTCGGTGCCGGCAGACGGCGGGTGCCAGCCGGAAGAGCTAAGATGGGTCCGAGTGGCGCTTTGGGCACAGCAGGTCCCCGCACACGCATGCACGGCACCCCTTCACTCCCGCTCGTGTTGCTGGTTGGGCATTCGGGTAACGTCTGCTGAGTCTAAGAGGAAGAAGAGGGACGTTGGATCGTGTTTGTCCTTGGGTGGGGGCCGCTGGAGGAAGGGGGCAAGGGAACAAAAGGGGAATGGTGCTGTCATTTTCAGTAGCTCTTACTTGAAACAGACATTAGATAGTTTCTGTTTGTTTGGAAGAAAAACCGAGCCTCGCCTGCTGCTTCCTGAGGTTTTCCGACGTTAAGTTAGTGGTGATGCATCTCTTCGGGGGACTTCTCTGCCTTGGCTCGATGCTGAGAGCTTTAGGGCTAGGGCAGCGCCCGAGTCCCACCCTTTTCCGTTCTTCTGTTTTAATGACAGTGGAGTCACTAAGCACGAAAGCCTTCAGGACTGTTAGTCTTCTGGAGAGTCTGCACAGCTCACCTCGTGCCGCCCGGCGGCGCAGTGGAAACCCAGTGTGTCACCGAGGGGCCTTTCAGAGCACCATGGCATGTAGCCACATGGTGTCCCGTTAGCCCAGGGCGTGGGTTAAGCAGAGGCGCACCCTGTGCTTTGTCCTTTGCACGGCACGGTGTTGGCGCATAGGTGTGGTAGAGGGGGCACCTCCCAGGACCAGGAGAGGGGAGACAGTGGGCTCCTCGAGCTGACTTGCTGTGTGGATGTTACGTTGGAGCAGCTGGGCCGTGTACAAGTTTCCACATGGGGCCGGGGGCAGGGCAGGGTGAAGGGCATCACTGGGACATAGTTCACATTCAAAATCGGCCCAGGATCCTTGTCTCGAGGTTGTGTGGTTCGAATCTGGAAAGCGTTCCCTGCGAACGTCCTTCTCAATGGTACAGGGAGCCTAGAGGTGCGGGCGTGTGGGCATCTCCCCTGTAGAAAGTTCCAGACTGTTCTGGAAAGAGGCAGGACCTTCAGGGCTGCTTCAGCAATTGAGAGCAGGAAGAACCTCGTTATGGGATGGTGGAGTGGGGGTTCTCCCACCCCACCCAGGATGGCTAAACCTGCAGGATGACCCCCGCACTTCGCCGGTCACCCGTGTCTTGTTCATCGTCTCAGAGATCTCATTCCGCGTGTGGCAGTGCGGTGGCAGCCTGGAGATCATCCCGTGTAGCCGCGTGGGACACGTGTTCCGGAAGCAGCATCCCTA